AAAAGCCATACATAGCATATTTGTGGACAATATTGCAAATAAAAATATCTTTTTTCCCCTCGCCTGACAAAACAGACAGTTCTGTTTAAGGCATCAAAAAATTAGGTAAAATAATCACAGTTCTTTTAAATATGTGAGGCTTTTTGTTTTTAGTGGAGATGTATATGGGTGGTTGCCATGAAGGAGAAAGATCTTTGGTGAGTGTCCTGCTTTCTGCTGCTACAAAATTCCAGTCGCTAGAGTTTTTGGAAGTCTAGATCTGTGTGCACGAGAAGAGAAAAGAATACCACAGAGAGAGCCAGAAAGATAAAATAGCATGGACGTAGCTCAATAGACCAGAGGCAAAATGAAATAACATTATTGTGGAAAAAAAGACAATTTGGGGAAGTGTAATAATGTTTGTCATTTATTTTATATATATACATATTTTTAATATTTATTTATTTATTTATTTTTGAGATGAAGTGTCCTACTGTCATCCAGGCTGGAGTGCAGTGGTGTGATTTCAGCTCACTGCAACCTCTGCCTCCTGAGTTCAAATGATTCTCCTGTCTCAGCCTCCCAAGTAGTTGGGATTAGAGCTGCGCATCACCATGCTCGGCTAATTTTTGTATTTTTAGTAGAGTTGAGTTTTCACCATGTTGGCCAGGCTGGTCTTGGTCTCCTGACCTCAAGGGACACACCAGCCTCAGCCTCCCAAAGTGCTGGGATTACAGGCATGAGCCACTGCGCTTGGCCAACAATGTTTGTCATTTAATGATTGACAATCAAATTATTTTAAAAAACATTGATTTAGGGGTCAATTGGTTTGAGGGGGAAAAAGCCCTTCAAACTAAATATTAGCTTTATGCATGAGCATTTATGCCATAAAACAAAGTTTTCATTTTTAGTTGAAGCTTGGATATTTCTGAGCAACAGAGGTAGAAATTAAAAAAAACCTGGCTGGGCGCAGTAGCTCATGCCTGTAATCCCAGCATTTTGGGAGGCTGAGGTGGGCGGATCACAAGGTCAGGAGTTCGAGATCAGCCTGACCTATATGTTGAAACGCCATCTCTACTAAAAATACAACAATTGTCCGGACTCGGTGGCATGCGCCTGTCACCCCAGCTACTCAGGCGGCTGAGGCAGGAGAATCGCTTGAACCCGGGAGGCAGAGGTTGCAGTGAGCCGAGATCACGCGACAGCACTCCAGCCTGGGCGACAGAGTGAGACTCTGTCTCAAAATAAATAAATAAAATAAAACAAAAGCTGCCTTCAAGCTGGGGAAAGTGATCCAGAAGTAGTGTGGCAACACAGAATGGTCTTTTGTCTTTCCAAAAATAATACCTGAACGCATTAGAATAGAAAGGGTCAGACCTCCTCCTGAATATCCCCTATCTCCTCCCTCATTTTTGTAGCTCAGATCGCCTCACTGAAGGATATTAGGAAAACTCCATGACAAAGCCACATAAAGAACTTCTCAAACTGTACTGTAGGGCTGAAATTTCATTGCAGCAAGTGAAGTACGGGGAGACAGAAGTTTGCCTCTACTCCCTTAGGGTTCTGGCTGGGCCTGAGAATGAAATTGACATAAGATAGATTCACAGGAAGAAAACGTGCAGATATTTACATGTCCACAGGAGCCCCCATAAGGAAACGAAGACACAGAGATGTGGCAAAACCTGAGTGCTGATATACTAGGTTGAACAAAGAATAGCAATTGTGGAACAGTAGCTAAAATGTATAGGGAGGCTGAAGGAAGGTATGAGTTATAGCAAGATCTGTTTGTACACATTTTTCTCAGCCTTGACTGCCTGTCTCTTGTGACAAAAGTGTTTCTTCTCTCCTGGTATAAGGTAGGCATCTTTCACATGGACGTTCTCTGCTGTCTCCGGTGAAAAGAATATTTCCTTTTTCTCAGTACAGAGAGGGCGGATCGTCCTTTTCGTTTCTGCTATTTGTTAAGTGCCTTTAGATCAAAATAATCCATATGCAAAAGTGGCATACTATGGGGTGGCACATTCTGTCACCCTTCAGGGCAAATATTGTTTGGAATACGAAAATGAGTGACGACAAGGGTTGGGTGTCTTTTGTTTGCTAGTTTGTTCTAGGTTATGATGGAATTTCAGGACAATATTATTTCAAAATATAACACCTTGACATTTGAGAAAGCAGGAGATACAGGAAAGTCACTCTCACCTTCCCCTCACCCTTCTCCCCTGAAGCAGGTCATAAAATCTAGGAAGGTCGCTCTCTGACCTTTTCCTGCACTTCTTCCCTGAAGTAGGTCATCAGGCCCTCATGTGAGGGGCACCCTTCCAACACCAAGAGAAAAAAAAAAAAATCCTTGTCTCAGAAGACTCAGGAACACGGTGAAAAATAGGAACAAACAGAATTTGCTAATCTTCCCCTAGTTTATTACCATCCTATCACACCCTGTTGTCAGCTGGCTTATTTTAGCTGTTGTATTCCTAGGAAAAGAATCCCTGTTTAAACCAGGTTATACTCTCTTAAGAATCATCTGAAAGCCAAGCTACTACTTTGGGTAAATAGCAAGATCCTACTTATGACTATTTTTGATAAGGTACCAACTGTGGGCCTGACATTATGCTCAGGGATTCGCATGTATCATCTCATTTAATCCCCACAACGATCTTGTGAATTAGGAGTGATGATCACTGTTTTACAGACATAAACACCTTGGTTTAGGATGGTCGAGGAATGCGCCCAAGCTTAAGTCATACCTAGAAACCAACCAAACTGTGCCTTATGTCTGGCTTGTCAGTTGATACCCAAGTCTATGCCCCTACCCCTCATTATTCTAGAAAAGAAGTGTCACCTGTAATTTGAAAATACTAACTCAATATTCAAATCACTTTCCCAAGTAAAAAGTGATCAATCTTTGTTTCATGGTTTGAAACTTATGCAGTTTCTACCCACTTTTGCACAATCTTCAGGTCCTTCGAAAAGTTGTTCTTGGTGTTACGTTTTGAGTTTGTAATTGAAGCTGGCAACAGGGTAAATCTGCCATCATCAAGCTACTTTGCCATGATAAGAAACTAGAACTTTTTTTTTTATCCCGGTTACAATGTCTTTGTGTTTTCTCTTTTCGTTGGTGGGTGCAATGTCTGTCTTTTCAATGAACTGTTAATCACATGAGAGGCGTGCCATAAAACAAAGCTTTCAAGGTAATCCGTGCTTGCCACAAGCTCTCTCCCACTGACTTTGACTACCACTGCATATTTTATGACCCTCACCTTGATTTCGAGAAGAATACAAATATATGGCTTGTGCTGTGTGAATTTTGATTATTGTATGTGGGCATTACAATGCACAAAATCATTAGTCAGAATGCAAACACATACAACACACATGAGATGAGAATGTAATAATCTTTTATAATCACTCAAAATAAGCAGATTATATGGTAGCTCCAAATGTTATGGAAATGAAACATTAAGTTCAGGGCTGTTGTTGTGCCATGTACCATTGGGCAATTCAGAGTGAGTGTGAGTGAATGTGAGTTCAGTACAATGTTGTCTTACAGAAGATGGAGAGGAGAGACTTTCTGTTGGGTGCAGAGCCAGGGAGATGCCCCTCACCATCAGAATACCACACTGGATGGATGGAGCTTCACATCAGCTACACTAAGATTGCTTTCTTGTGATGAAGTCCTCTGAGGAGCATCCTTGTCTGCTCCCTGAGCCTAAATCCCGATTTCACTTCAGTCAGTGCTCTCGGAAGCTTCCTTTCCCCGTTAATGACCTCACGGACACAACAGAGCAAGGCAACATCCCATAGTTTTTGGTATATTCGTCCCTCTGCCTCTCCATTTCGTTTCTCTACTCTGAATCTATAAGGTATTGGGAGGAGGCATTACCTCTAGGAAAACGAGAGGTAACTGTCTACTTACTCTTAGATTCTTCCCCAAGTAACAAGGAGTAAAAATGGGATGCTATTAAAACAAAGCTGGGGAACTTCAATCAGTAGATTGTAAGAAGACTTAAATGTGGACCATATGTTCAGGGACTAACCGGGTTGGCTTGGTTCACCGTCATCTTCCTAGAGTTTAGTATGGTGCCTGGCTCATAGTACATTCTCCATACATTTTTGGTGAATTAATTGATGAGAAAAAAGACCCAATGAGCCTTTAACTCTTAGCTTGCCTAATTAAGGCAATCCCTACTCTCAGAGAAGTTATGAATTAATGAGGAAGACAAGCAACTAAACAAAGGTTTAAAACAAAAACATGAGTGTTATGCAAAGAGGCATAAAAGGGACAATGGAAACACAGTGCTAGGGGACCTGGCTTGTCCTGGGGAATGTGTTCTTAAAAAAGTAACTTTGAACCCGTCAATAGCCAAGAAAAGGGAGGGAAAAGTTCCAGACAAGGAAATGTGAAGAATCAGCCCCAAGAAAGAGCATGGATCATAGTAGATTTGAAAAGCTGAAAAATATTAAATATGTTTATGAGAGGAACATTGATGTTCATGTAAATAGAGACAGGAAACTGCTCATGCAGCTCTTGCTGATACCAAGAAGTTTGAACTTCAGGGCCAGAGGCAATCACTGAACAATTTGTGTTTTGGAAAGGACTCAGGCTGCAGGAGAGTATATTGGATGTGAACGAAACTGGAAGTTGGGAGCCTATTTAAACCTTTCCAGCCCTGAAGGGATTTCTTTTGACTCTGATAAGAGAAGAGGCCACAGAAATGAAGGTAAATTGACATACACAAGACATGTCAAGGAATCAGAGTCCACAGTGTTTGTAAGGGGGCGGCAGGTGGCAGGAAGCAGGAGGAGGATAAATGAAGGGTTCAGATGGCATCCAGGCGTGGCAGCAGTCTTTAATTATGGACCCAAGAGAGAAAGGTCTGGGCAGGTTCTCCCAGTTCTAAAGCTGTGCTGGCTTTCCAATCTAGTTGATCTAAAATAATTTTACTATCACCAAAATTGCTCTGTTTCACCCTGTTTTTATACTTTGTTTGGCTTGATTTCATTCTTTTATGCTTCCTTTCCAGATCATGGGCTTCCAGTGCATTGCTTCATTTACCGTGGGAGGAAAGTGCTTTTGAAGCTCCAAATCCAATCCCTGAAGCAAGATTAATAAACAAAGATCTTCTCCAGTGTGCAAATCCTCATGGGACTTAGGTGGATTAGCTACAGCCTAGACCCGAGGCATGTGGCACACCTGTGCATTGCCACATATAGTTCAGAAATAACACCAGTTCATGTCTACAACAAGGCCTTTGAACCTGAGTATTCTCTTTCTGGTGTTCAATGCTGGAGCTGCAGTGAGAGCCTGCCGTTCCCCAAATTTTGCCCCTGAGGCGCCTTACTTGTCTCACCATAATCTAGTTCATTTGAACACTTCTCCAAATACACTGTAGGAGTACAACGGAGTTAGCTTGTTTCAAGGGAGAGTTTTTTATTGGGAAGATGACCTAATTGGCTAAGTTCAAGTTTGTGGAAACAACATATCTGAGGAATCCGAATCAGATCGATGAAATAGACAGAGTTTCTAGCAACTGTACTGTGAATAACGTCCTGAAAGATGCTGCTGCTGGAACTCGATTCCACAGCTATGGGCGTTTGTTGGAAGGCACCCAAAAGGGATTCCAAGGGCCCTGCCTCTACTGACTGCCATTTATTCTTAAAGCACTAGGCTCAACAGTTGAGCTTTGTGTGGTATTGAGTGGGTTTTGTGATTACTTGTTTGCCATTGTTAGTGTCAGCCTGTCAACACCTTGAAGGGCAGAGCATTTTTTGTTTGTTTTGAAAATTACTCAATAGCAAATCCTTAATTATACAGCAGTATGGCTTTTTGAAAGGTTGAGTGATGCACTGCTGTTGTTTTAGATTTCTTTCAGGCTAAATCTTATGGGGTGTATAGCCTTCAATAACTAAATGCATATAATGCAGTTGAATCCCCCTTGAGCCTGCCATTAATTATCTCACATATATCTTCATTTTCAGCCTAGTGATGTGGGCCAGCATTCAAGACAGCTAGAAAAGATATCCAGTAAAGGTTTTGAAGTTCCTTTGTATGGATGGATTTATGATAATAGACACATGTGAACCATACACACATACATGCATGTATGCACACATCTACTTTGACATCTACATCTGCTTAATACCACATTCATGGATAGACGTAACACATGCACATATAAATGTGTCACACACATCTTTACATATATATGCACACTCGCATGTTTATTGTATTTGAATTTTTTGGTTGCAAGTAACAAGAAACCAAACTCAAATACACCTAAACCATAAAAGGAATCCATAAGTTCGCAAAGGTTATTTCATTCCCTCTTTCCCCTATATCCCAAGGTTGATCCTCTTTATGTTTGTGAAATGGCTGCTAAAAACCTCCATATTGAAGTGTAGCAGGAAGAGTATGTCTTTTTGGATAGCTTCTTTGGAAAAGTGAGGAAGCTTTTTTCTCAGAAATCTTAACAGACCTTCTCTCATTTTTTATTGTTGGAATTGAGTTTCAAGCCCATCACTAATTTAATCCCTGTAACCAGTGAGATGAAATATGAAGATGGCCTTAAATGAATCCCTGGAGCTGATGGGTTATTACGTGGGACCCAGGGTCAGATTTTCCAGAAACATTTAGGCTGCATAGGGTAAAAGGCAGATACCCAATGGAAAATCAAACTCTGTTACCAAGAGGTAGGTTGCCCAAATCCTGGGTGGCTCATGTTCATAAATGTGCCTACCCCGGCTCCTGCACATGTGCACACACACAACATGGCTGTTAGAATTTCCACAACCAAAGATTCCCTTTGTTACTGAATTGCTTTCTGCACCTCGTGTTTTGACAGATTCTGTCTACTAAGAAACTGAGAGCAATATGATCACTAATTCATTTTCGCATTTTCATGCCTGAGAAGCTGGTATTACCACAATGAGTTTATGTAATTCCAGCCAATATTAAAGCAATACGATTGATGTTTTAGGTAGCCTGGGAGACCTTATAGGAAGTAAATGTACAGTTGTAATTAGAATTATTGAAATCTTAAAAATAGCAGATTATTTGCAGGAGTTGGGGGCCTTTTTGAGAAGCAATTTTGTAAAATGTTCCTTCTTAGGTCAAAATTTGGCTAGACCTTTCTTGGTAGATGCAGGAAACCATGATGACTAATCCATTGCACAAATCACTGCAAGTAGATGTGCCCTTTGCACCTGCCCCTCTTTCACGTTCCCTTCCACTTCCTTTCTTCTCCAATGACACGATATCACTGAAGAGGCTCTCCTCTGGAAGAAAATACTTTGAAGTCATTTAACTATGTTAAAAAAAAAAAAGCTTGAGGAAGCAGTTTGTTTTCAGAGAGTGTATTTATCAACAACTTTCCACTCTCAGTAGTTTAGAAAAATAAAAGTTTATTTCTTATTTACACCATAGTTTAAAGTGGGTTGTTCACAGGCTGTTATGGGGCTCTGCTCCATGCTGTGATACAGAGAACCAGGCTCCTTCCATCTAACAGTTCCTAGGGCCTTGGAGTCTTCCAGTGGAGCCTGTGTATCCAGCCAGTGGATGAAAGAAGGCTGATGATACATGGCTGAAACATGAATGATTATGTAAGCAGATTGCAGTGTCCCTGCCTGGCAGTGGTACACATTACCTGCCTACATTCCATTGGCTAGGACACATAGTGATGTGACCACAACGATTTGCAAGGTTGCTGAAAAATGTAGTCAAAATGTGTGCCCAGATGGAAAGGGAAACAAGGGTGGCTAGAACACACAGGCATCTTTGCTACCGATAGACAAACGTTCATTTAGAATCTTACTTTTTCTCCTACACAGGTATGCAGGAACATTTTGAATGCCAGAGTTTTTGAATCTCAGCAATTCAAATTGGGTCAAGATTATGACTAATAGGGCTGAATTCTTATTAAAGAACAGCTTGTTTTACAGTTAACAAATAAAGTTTTCTGCAAGATTTTTTTTTCCTTTTTACCTAGAGGTCACTGAATTTACAGTCTCTTCGTGATATGGTTTGGCTCTGTGTTCCTACCCAGATCTCATGTTGAATTATGATCTTCAGTGTTGGAGGAGGGATCTGGTGGAAGTTGATTAAATCATGGGGGTGGATTTCCGCCTTGCTGTTCTCATGATAGTGAGTGAGTTCTCATGAGATCTGGTTGTTTAAAAGTGTGTAGTCTCACACCTGTAATCCCAGCACTTTGAGAGGCTGAGGTGGGTGGATCACAAGGTCAAGAGTTCCAGACTAGCCTGACCAACATGGTGAAACCCCATCTCTACTAAAAATAAAAAAAAGTTAGTTGGGTGTGGTGGTGCATGCCTGTAATCCCAGCTACTCAGGAGGTTGAGGCGGGAGAATCACTTGAACCTGGGAGGCGGAGGTTGCAGTGAACTGGGATTGTGCCACTGCACTCCAGCCTGGGCAACAGAGCGAGACTCCATCTCAAAAAAAAAAAAAAAAGTGTGTAGTCCCCCTTCACTTGCTCTCTCCTGCTGTCACATGAAGACATACTTACTTCCCCTTCACCCTTCCGCCATGACTGAGGCCTCCCAGCCCTGTTTCCTGTATAGCCTGTGGAACTGTGAGTCAATTTAACCTCTTTCCTTCATACATTACCTAGTCTCAGGTAGTTCTTTAGAGCAGTGTGAGGATGGATTAATATACTTAGCAGTCCCAGGACTTCTAGAAAGAGCACACCTGTAGACAAAACTATAATGCAAGTAACTTATGTTTGCTTTTAGCTTGGGGAGTGGACAGAGGTTGGTAGCTCTCGTGAATAAAAAGGTTTGTTGTGCTGTTCTGAGGCAGTACCTTCAGAAGGTGGCAGGAAGTCAGAGGAACTACTGTGTGACTGTAATGAGCCGCAGTTGAACACAGAACCTCAGAGCTTCACCCCTGGAGAAGGTTTGAGCCCCGAGAATCAGTGGACTTGAAGAGACCATAGTAGACCTGGAGAGTAGGCATCTTGGCATTAACTGGTACAGACCAACACTGGGAGGTAGGGGAATAGAAACACCAGGCATTACAAAGAATTTTGGTCATTATAAGACCCAAATTTTCTTGTGTGGCCCTAAAATGAAGTGGAGGGAACTCAAATACAGTAATGACAAATTAAATTACCAGCCAATCTTCCTGGATGGGACCATGAAGTCAGACTACTTTTTGTATACAGAAAAATCTAAAATACAATAATTCTTTCTTACCTGAGATGATGGCTGCAAATTCATGCCTTAGAGCCATTTGGGCCCTAGTACAGGGCAGATGAGTGAAATGAGCTCTCAGAAACATGAGAAAGAGGGGTGCTGGGTTGCAATGGAGGGTCTTAGGAGAGGGGTGGAAAGTGAGTTCAAGGAGGGCTACGGTTATGAAAATGTGTTCTGTGGACTCCTTGAGGTCCTCAAGACCCATTTGGGTGTCCACCAGGTCAAAACTCTTTTTATAATGATGCTAAGATATGATCTGCCTTTTCCACTCTTCTCTGTTATTCTTCTATGAGTGTACAGTGGAGTTTTCTAGAGACAACAAATTGAATAAGAAGCAGATAGGAGCATTAGCTGTCTTCTATTAAACCAGGCATGCAAGAGATTTGTAAAAATGTAAAACAATGACACTCCTCTCACTAAATATTTTTTTTTGTTTGGGGTTATATGGTTATTTTTCAAAAAATATGTAACTTCTGTTAACATGCTCTTCACTGCTGTTTAAAATGAAGTCAACAATAAATGTTTTTTAAAAATCTCGGTTTTAATTTCTAATACAGTAAATGTTAATAAATATAACCCACATGAAAGAAAAAAGTTCTTTAGGAACCACAATTATTTTTAAGAGTGTAAAGAGATCCTGACACCAAAAAGCTTGAGAATGTTGGATTAGAACAACAACTCAATCAGTGTTGAGAGAAATTAATTCTGCCACTTGTGGACTAATAACTTCAGAGTATGTGAAGCACTGAGAAGATAGATTGTTTCTTCTGGAGAAGTATCTTTAGAAGAGCAGTAGTAATTAGCCAGGGGCAACTGGTGTAGACAGCCATTAGTGAAACAACTGAATTTTAATAGCACTGAATACTGCAACTTGCAAACCTAAAAAAATTGCAATACTGCCATCTAGCGTTCTACCGTGAAAACATTTTAATATTTATTTTTTTCCTCAATTTACAATTGCGTCAGAACTGAATGACAACATAAGCCAAATGTAGTAGTTTGCCATGCATTGTTCAGGCTATTTCACCAAACATGTACCTTTAAATATCTTCGATGTCTTTTCCCATTTCTTTCTGTATGTAATCTCTTCTTTCTTCTTAGAGTTAGGATAACTGGAGAAGGTAGGATTTCAACCTACTTATACCTTGTTTCAAACTTTATATTCCTGTCATTACACAATGTAGAATGATTTAGTGGGAATGCAGGGAAACCAAATAAGTAACCTTCCTCACTTTGGTTATACCTACCTCCTCTTTCCATGGTATTTTTTTTTTTTTCTGAGATGGAGTCTTATTCTGTTGCCCAGGCTGGAATGAACGGTGCAATCTCGACTCACTGAAACCTCCGCCTCCTGGATTCAAGCTATTCTCCTGCCTCAGCATCCCGAGTAGCTCGGATTATAGGTGCCCACCACCACGCCCGGCTAATTTTTGTATTTTTAGTAGATACAGGGTTTAACCACGTTGGCCAGGCTGGTCTCGAACTCCTGGCTTCAAGTGATCTGCCTACCTTGGTCTCCCAATCCATAGTCATTTTTTTTTTTTAAATAAACTGTTTATTTTGGATCAATTTTAGATTTACACAGAAGCTTCAAAGATAGTATGGAGAGTTCCCATGGCCTCTCATCCAGGTTTCCCTATGGTCAACATCTACATTTCTGTAGAAACCCATACCCACTGGGTGCCTGGCACAATGCACGGAAGTTCCACACCAATGAACATGACTGAAATTTCAGAAATAGAAACTTGGGGGTTAGCGAGGATGGGCTGGGGAAACAAAAAAGTTTACATATAAAAGAACAGGACTTGACTTGTCATCAAACTTCTCAGTAGCCACACCGGAAGCTAGAAAACCAGGAACCAGTGCCTTCAAAATTCTGAGTGAAAATTATTTTCATCATAAAATCCTGTACAAAACTGCATATTAAGAGCAATGTTAGACTACAGATAATTCTAGAACAACTACAGAGTTTTGAAATATTTATGTCCCATGCCCCCTTTATCAGACAGCTATTTGAGGATGTGCTTCTCTAAAGCGGGAAAAGAAACAAAGAGAGAAAGACCAGGGGAGAGGGGAAGGAGCCTGTCTGAACGATGTGAAGGAGATTGTGAGTCAAAGCTCCATGGTGTCCTAAAAAATAAACAGTGTAGAATGGAGCGGGAAGACAGAGTTGTTTGAACAACTCAGAGATGTATTCTTCTGTCAGAGTGTTTGGGGATGAATTAGTAATAGGTATAAAGAAAATGAAATAAACATAAAGATCAGGCAGTGGATTAACCCCAGAGAAAATTAAAAGTTGCATGGAAGCATGGTATGTATACTACATGGCTCAGCTTTGAGCCATACAGACTCATAGTAGTATAAATATTGAATTCATCTAAATGAAAAGGTAATTTTATCATGTTGGCTAGATGGGAGAAGGTGGAAGAGAAAGAGGGAGGGAGGATGAACAGAGAGGGAGAGAGAGAAAGAGTGAGAGAGAAAGCTAGATCCTCTGCCCTGTACCCAGAAGTCAATAATTATCTAAAATTGAAAAAAATAAGAAGCACCACCTATCATTTAAACAATACGGGATTAAATACCAGAAGAAATGGTTAAAAGTGGTTACCTCTACAGAGTACAGATCAGGAATTGGGATGATCCATGAACTAAGGGAAAATTCTAGTAGGATTATATGACTTGTTAAAACAATGTTAATGTTACTTTAAAAGGCAAAACATCAGGTAAATGGGTGCCCTGCCACATCAGGGACTTAGCACCCAGGGTTATCAACTCTGTTAAGAATCAGGGAGTGCAGGGGGAAGAAAGTATAATTGATGGCCTTGTACAAAGTGTCTTGGATTCTTATCAAGGCTGTGGCAGTCAAGTGTCCTTTGCCCCTGCTTCCTTCTTGTTTGCATAAATATTTGCATTCTGAGGCTCCAATCTGGGGTGAGAGCTCATTTTCTGTTTGCACAATTGCCTGGCTCCTCTGGCCAAAGGGTGCTCTGCTTCTGGCAGCTGAGGATCCCAGTAGACAGTTTCTTAAACCATGGCCTTCCCTGTGGGATTTGGATGGGCGGCAGCCACTGCGGCTTATCAAGTAGAAGGTAGGGGACACTCTCGCCTTCACTGGGGTGGGAATGCTTTATTCCTGGTGTGTTCTGTGTACCTGAGGAAGATGGTGGGGGTAAGGAGGTAAAAAGAAAAGAAGCAAAGAATTGAACAGTCCACAGTGTTGTCAATGAATTTGCTTCCCTTTTCAAACACGTCAGGGGTGGGGGCTCACATTCTCTTGTCTCTTTCTTTAGGCAAAAGGAAGGGTGGAGGGATGAAGACGTGAAAACTAAGCTGTGGCTGGATTTTCAGTCAGTCCAAACTCAGCTGAGACATCAGTTTACATTAGACCAGCTGCTTTTATAATTGATTTCTAGAACCCATTTGCCCCAACTCCTCTACAAAGGAGAATCATTTTTTCTACTAGCTGGAAAAATATTGGGTCGATTTTTTCGAAGAGCCCTTCATTAATTGGGAAAAGTTCCCTGTTCTATTCTTAGTGAGCGCCAAGCCAAGCCTAATCTTGTATGCCGCCCTATTTCCTGGGGCAGCTGAGAAGTGAATCGAAGCAAATGGCAAAGAGCACCCAGAGTGGCTGTGGAGCCCCAGTTCTAGTCCTCATCCTACCACACACAAGTGTATGAATTATTTGTCCTCCTTGAGTCTCAGTTTCCTCATCTGTGAAACAGGAAGATTAGCTTTACTTTTCTAAAACACGTATGTCCGCCTTTCCCCCCCCCCACCCCCGCAGGGAATTATAGATTGTTAATAGCTACCATGGAGAAAATATTTATTTGGTCAAATAAGTATGTGAAACCCTACATTAAACAAAGCAAAGTGAGTTATTGTAGTAGCTTCCTAGGATTGCTGTAATAAAATATCATAAACTCTGGGGCTTAAACAACATAAATGTATCCTCTTACAGTTCTAGAAGCCAGAACTGGCCCCTGGAGGATGTAATTAGCCAAGTTAAGATGAGATCATATTGGAGTAGGGCAGATATGCAATCCAGTATGACTGGTGTCCTAAGAAGAAGGAAATTTGGACACTGAGAAATTTGGAAATTTGAAAGAAGAAAATTTGAACAAAGAGACAAGGAGAACACTATGTGTGTGAGAGATTGGAATGTTACAGTAAGCTAAGGAGCAATAGTCACCACCGAACTTAGAGGCAAGAGGGATTTTATCTAGAGTCTCGGCGGGGCATGAGCCTGCTGACACCTTGATTTTGGAACTCCAGCCTCTAGAACCGTGAGAGAATACATTTTTGTTGTTTAAGCCTTTCATTTTGTGACACTTTATTACAGCACCCCTAGAAAACTTACACACCAGGAAAAACAAGTCAATCTATCAATGAAATAATGACTGCTATGGTCAGTGCTATGGTGATAATAGGATGTTGTGGGAAAGGGTCATGTGAAAACCAGTTCCTCAGGATGGGTCATCAAGGAGGATCTTTGTGAACTAGCATCATCCTGTCTAAACTTAAGATATGAGGAGGAGAGTGCCATTTGAATATGGGGAGATCTTTCTAGACAAAGAAACAGAACAAGTTGATCCTGGTACAACCCATGCTGCTTGGGATTCCCAGCTTCAGTTGCTATTTCCTCATCCTCTAGAATGGGAAGGAGGAATCTCTACTACACAGTTGTGATAACTGCCATGTAGAAGACATCTCCCACTGGGGGATTATGTATATTATTGCACATATATGATCTGTGATACCAGGCTCTTTTAAAAGAACGTCTGACAATGTCCTGGCTGGCTGAGATTCCATGCCACCTTTCCCGCTACATGGGATCTTTCATCTTCTTCCAGATAATTTCCACTTTGTCGTAGAGGGTGACTGAATAGGCTGACCCTCTAGGAATAAAAACAAAAACAATGACCTTGGTTAGTTTCCTTCTCAAAAGAGAGGTCAGAAAAACAGAGAAAGCATGATAGAGCACCAGCATGGTGTAAACAGAATCAGATGCTAGAAGCAACAAAGCATTGGTGATTATTAAGATGAGTTTTGGGGGAAGACTCTTTAGACTTGGATTCGATCTCTCTGTTTACTAGATTTGTGACTTTGGCCAAATGACTTATCTTCTCTGTGCCTCCTTACCTGTCAGACGGAGATTATTATGGTGTCTCCTGTGTAGCACAGCTACGAGGTTTAAATAAGGTAATGTGTGTTAAGTGCTTGGCATTTAGTAATTGCTCGATGCATGTTATTTGTATCTGGGAGGATCACAAAAGAATTACAAAGAATGATTCACTGTGGCACTCTACAGTTAACTTGACATAAACATGCAATTAGTTATACAAGACAATAGAGTGGGTTTCAACAACCAACTTTCAGTTCCTGCCCGCTTAGGACCTGGAAGTAACTTTAACGGGCCCATTCGGAGCTCCTGTCTTCACATGATCTCATGTGAAGAGATCATGATACTGTTGCATCTCTTCTGTCTACTTGGAGCCAGTTTATCCTATGTTCTTTTGACTTGGGCTTGCTTCTGCCATATTTTGAGGTCTTTATGTGTGGCCTCTAACCTGCTATTAACTTTCTACCTATAGTTTACAAGGTAGGGTACTTGATCCAGCATGCTCTGCCAAGAGCCATCAGTCTGCTCTCTTTGTCAACTCACAGAATAACTTTTGCATGTTTGCTTGTTTTCCACCCTAGGATCTCTTCCTGATCCTTTCATGCTGTGTCTGAATTTTAGCTCAAGCACTTACCAGCAGAGTGACTTTGGGCAAATAATGTGTTTAAGCCTCTGTTTCCTTATTTGTGAAATTTGAAACATAGTCATACTCACTCTGTAGATTTGTTCTAGGGACTAAAGAGGTGAGCATATGTAACTGTGGTAGAGGAGTGCCAGCATGTAGTGCTCACCAAATACTAATATTAATGCCAGTACTATTACTATTTTTCTTTCTCCTGGCTGTATTCTCTTGCACTCTGAGAGAAGGAGAGTTACACTGTTGACTCCATTTAGTGGGAATGGTCATTTCTTGTTTTGACTGCTAGTTGGAATATGTTCCTTCCTTGCTCATGCTTGACTAGTTCACCATCAGTTGCCAGGAGAGTTACTGTTTAACCATGTCTCCCACCATCGACTGAATTACAGTGCAGGAAGTTCACTGGTGGCTTTATCCAATCAGCAAGGCTTGGATTGAAAAGCCAAGAACAGCCTGTCTCTTTTTGATTCTGATAATCTTTGCAGTTTTGTGCTGCCCTGGCCTCTGAAGGTGTGCAGATCCTTTGGAAGTCAGGAGACACTCAGCAGAACTGAGGACTGAGCCTGAATTGTATTTGTAAAAAAAAATCTAACACTTTGAATACTTGTTATAAAACATTACCGTGTATCTCTTTCTACTGTCTCTCTTTCCACTGTATTCAAAATACAGTTATCTGTATTCGTATATTTGTTTTCAGATAGACTCTTGAAATCCCTGAAGAATAACTAGCATACCCTCCCTCACTCTCACTGCAAGAATGGAGATATTTTGTCTCCATATAGAAAATACTGTCAGGGTCTTTGCAGGTGGGGCCCACTGAGAGGGGCAGGGACTGGGCCTTATCACCAGGTCTCCTAACATATTGGCTACTTGGTTGCATATGTTGCTGGAATCACACCTTTCCTTTGTCCTGCCCTTGTTCAGATCCTTTCTTCCTCTCCTCTGGCTATTTCACTGTTTATGTTCCTAAGGAAGAGTTTAATGTTTATTATATTAGAGTTGACTGCATGGTGCCTTGAGCCTTTTGGAGGAAAGCACAATATAAATCCAATAAATAAATAATAAATAAATGGTATAAGCAGGAGGAAAATTATGTGTTTTAGGTGAGTTGTAAAGAACCGTGTAAAACCTATAAAATGTATTTGTTAGACTAAGAGGCAGGGGAAAAAGTGCAAAAAATCATCGTACGTACAGAAGTGTGTCTCCCGCAATATTTTTAAGTAGAGAAAAATTCCCGTGATTTTTAACTCCTCATGAAGCTGACTCCGTCCTCTGTGTTTGGCTGGAGGGAATGTGAGGCGCAAAAACATCAGGTAGCTCCGTGGCATTTTGTTTACTTCAATAGTAGGCCACGGAGGAGCTATGCAAATGACACTGAGGACCCAGTTCTACAGTTCTTAAGAGTTTCTAACTCCTGGTGATTTCAGGGAAGGCTCTTAAGAAGTGAACATGCTTTGCAAAATCCCACAAATCCTAAGCATATTCTCAACTACTGTGTTAATGCTTCCTAGTGGGATCTGAGTTTGTGGTTTTTAAGGAGTCAAAGGCCTCAGTTTTATGAATGCCATTGTGAATCCTTGATGTTAATCTAATACAACAGTTGATTTTAAGTTTGACTTTGGTTTTATGTCGTTAGAAATTAGGGGTTGCCTCAGACTTTGGCCATCTCTGTTTGCCGTGATACATTAAAGGTGGATTCTTGTAGTTAAGACATTTGTGTGTGTGTGTGTGTGTGTGTGCACTTAAAAATTGGAAAAAGAACATGACAGCTGTAATTTTTGGTTTTGAGTTTATGGTGTTTCTATATAGGCTGTTTTTTCTTTGATCCTTAAAAAAAAAAAAAAAACTCAACTGATTCATACAAACCTGAGCTGGAGACACACTTCATCTACTCGTTGTAAATGTCAGCACAAGCCCCATATTTCTCTAAGACTACTTCCTGATTGTTTTCTTCACTCAACAGATTTTTAACTGTGTGTCTTCGTCTCTATTTTCTCCTAAATCCCATGGATTAAGCATCTCAGTCTGAGACTTGATCTCTTGGCTGCCCTTGGTACTCTTCTAGAAGAGGAATATCCAGACAGATATGCTGCTTGTCTGGACCACCTAAGAAAGAGGGAAGGGAAGGAGACTTAAAGCATGGTCATTTATTTCTTGGTATATAAGGAAATAGGGAGCAGAGATGTGGGCATTTACTCACAAAATTTATCGTAGCTTAAAAGTTGACATGACAGAAACCATTCTTATTTCTTTCCCTCAGTTTCAAATTTGAAATTCACAAAAATATCAAATATTGCCCTCCTTTTTCATTGTACTATGAAATTAATTAT